CTCTCCCCCTCCTCAGCCTCGCTCTCCAAACTGGTAAGCGAACACCGCCGCTCGCCGTGCCACGACTCGGACCCGTCGTCCCCGCCAAGAAGCATCCCCTTCAACAGCATGTCCTCGTGTGAGCCGGAAACAAAGCGCGGGTCACATACCACCGCATTGGTATGCGACAAATCGGCGTACCGAGGACTTAGAGGCGAGGATGAGGATACGGGGGAGGTGGGGGACAGTTCAGCGGGGACGACGTAATTCTGCTGCTGCTGCTGCGGATGGTGATGAATCTGCTGGTGGTGGTGGTGGTGTTGTTGAAAAGGCGTGGAAGCATTCATTCCAGTGTTCATTGTAGACGAGACATCTGCCACCAACCACAAATCACTACTTGACTTCTGGTCCATTGGTCTGAATCTTATCCACAAGATATGTTGGAGGTGTTTCAAGGGTCCCAGGTGCATTTTCTCAAATGAAAATTTATCTAACAATTGCCAGAAAATAGCACAAAAATTAGAGAAAATTGGAATATGGTGCTCATTGTCAGCAATGATGTTATGAGTCCTCTGAGTTTATAAAAACACTAGTTTATTACCCTCTTTTCTCAAGGATTTTTTTACTACCTCTAACACTATTCTCCCATAAAAATTGATGGTTTGATGATGTAGAATAATGAACATTTCCTGAAAGGAAATATAGCAATAAAAATAGAAGACAAATCAGAAACAAATGGGGGGCAATGTGCACTATTGATGACAATGTTACATAGCATATTTTCAACTGAGGTTATTTGCACTTTTTGAGTTAAAAATAGCAATAAGAAATTGAGGGAAAGTTACTGCTTGTGCAATATTGGGGAGCATGGTCAGAGTCCAGGAGAACTTTCCATATGTAGTAATCTACTTGAAATTAACTATAAAAGACTGGAAAAATTTAGAGAAAAATGGAGGATAATACACTTCAGTCACCCATTGACAACTGACTGTTAGTCTTGCAAACTCCATGAATACTACAGGA